GGCCTTGGTATAGTCAATAAAGCAGAAATAGATGTTTTTCTGGAACTCTCTTGCTTTTTTGATGATCCAACAGATGTGGGCAACTTGATCTCTGGTTCCTCTGCCTTTTCTAAATCCAGCTTGAACATCTGGAAGTTCACGGTTCATGTACTGTTGAAGCCTGGCTTGGAGAATTTTGAGAATTACCTTACTAGTATGTGAGATGAGTGCAATTGTATGGTAGTTTGAGCATTATTTTCATTGCCTTTCTTTGGGATTGGAATAAATACTGACCTTTTCCAATTCTGCGGCCACTGCTGAGTTTTCCAAATGTGGTGACATATTGAATGAAGCACTTTCACAGCATCATCTTTTAGGATTTGAAATAGCTCAACTGGAATTCCATCACCTTCACTAGCTTTGTTCATAGTGATGCTTCTTAAGGCCCACTTGACTTCGTATGTCAGGAAGTCTGGCTCTAGGTCGGTGATCACACCATCGTTATTATCTGGGTTGTGAAGATCTTTTTTGTATAGTTCTTCTGTGTATTCTTGCCACCTCTTCTTAATATCTTCTGCTTCTGTTAGGTTCATACCATTTCTGTCGTTTATTGTGCCCATCTTTGTATGAAACATTCCCTTAGAAAGAATGAAGAAGACGGAACCAAAGCAAAAACAACACCCAGTTGTGTATGTGACTGGTGATGGAAGTAAAGTCCAATGCTGTAAGAGCAATATTGCAAAGGAACTTGGAATGTTGGGTCCCTGAATCAAGGCACATTGGAAGTGGTCAAACAGGACATGGCAAGAGTGAACATCAACAATTTAGGAATCAGTGAACTAAAATGGACTGGAATGGGTTAATTTAACTCAGATGACCATTGTATCTACTACTGTGGACAAGAATCCCTTAGAAGAAATGGAGTAGCCATCATAGTTAACAAGAGTCTGAAATGCAGTACTTGGATGCAATCTCAAAAATGACAGGATGATCTCTGTTCATTTCCAAGGTAAACCATTCAATATCACAGTAATCCAAGTCTATGCCCTGACCAGTAATGCTGAAGAAGCTGAAGTTGAACGGTTCTATGAAGACCTACAAGACTTTCTAGAACTAACACCCAAAAAAGATGTCTTTTTCATTATAGGGGACTGGAATGCAAAAGTAGGAAGTCAAGAAACACCTAGAGTAGCAGGCAAATTTGGCCTTGGAGTACAGAATGAAACAGGGCAAAGGCTACTAGAGTTTTGCCAAGAGAACGCACTGGTCATAGCAAACACCCTCTTCCAACAACACAAGAGAAGACTCTACACATGGACATCACCAGATGGTCAACACCAAAATCAGATTGACTACATTCTTTGCAGTCAAAGATGGAGAAGCTCTATACAGTCAGCAAAAACAAAACGGGGAGCTGACTGTGGCTTAGATCATGAACTCCTTATTGCCAAATTCAGACTTAAATTGAAGAAAGTAGGGAAAACCACTAGACCATTCAGTTATGACCTAAATCAAATCCCTCATGATTATACAGTGGAAGTGACAAATAGGTTCAAGGGATTAGATTGATAGAGTACCTGAAGAACTATGGACAGAGGTTCATGACATTGTCTGGGAAGCAGGGGTCAAGACCATCCCCAAGGAAAATAAATGCAAAAAGGCAAAATGGTTGTCTGAGGAGGCCTTACAAATAGATGAGAGTAGAAGAGAAGTGAAAGGCAAAGGAGAAAAGGAAAGATATACCCATTTGAATGCAGCGTTCCAAAGAATAGCAAGGAGAGATAAGAAAGGCTTCCTCAGCAAACAATGCAAAGAAATAGAGGAAAACAATAGAATGGGAAAGTGTAGAGATCTCTTCCAGAAAATTAGGGATAAGGGAACATTTCATGCAAAGATGGGCATAATAAAGGACAGAATTGATAGCAATAGTTAGTTTTTATTGAGAGTTGACTCTTTCAGGAACAATCCTGGTGATGTCACACACACACACACACACACACACACACACACACTTTATTTATAATCTTAAATGTAGAGTAGGCATTTTCTATATTTTTGTTTCCAGTTTTCTTTAGCCTGGCAGATAAAGTAAGGAAATGGTTAGGATCATGGACTTGGGGATCAGGGAGACCAGGTTGCAACTCCCAAGTTCAATCATTTGCCAGCTGCTTGACTTTAGGGAATGTATATAAACTTATAGAACATCCTTCAGAGAAGGGTCAGGGCTTCCCTGGTGTCTCAATGCTAAAGAATCTGCCTGCAATACAGGAGCCGCAGAAGATGCAGGTTCCATCCTTAGGTCCCCTTGAAGATCCCCTGGGGGAGGGCATGGCAGCCACTCCAGTATTCTTGCCTGGAGAATCCCATGGACAGAGAAGCCTGGTGGGCTACAGTCCACAGAGTGGCAGAGTCAGACATGACCGAAGCACTCGCATGCAGAGAAGGGGTAATGAGGTTGAAAGGAGCTCTTGTAGATAAGACCCTTAGTATTAATATGTGGCATGAGTTAAGCCCTCTACAGATGTCCTGAAGAAGACCCAGAGGACAGAGGGCTTATCTAATTCATCTTTGCATCCTTAGTGCCTAGCATTCTGCCTGACCTCCAGGGGACACTCCTGACAAATTTGGGGGAGCAGTTCCTGCACTGCAGTGCAGATGGACATCCTGGAAAGATATGGCCCTGGGGACTCATGAGCTTCCTCAACCCCAATGTGTTCGTATATTCCCCACCTTTACTGAGAAAAGCATGAGGAATAACAACATGATGCAAAGGAAGTCCTGCCTGTTGCCTTCTTGCTCCCCTCCGCCCCCACCACACACACACGGTAAAGGATGGACATGCTGGCTTTGACTTTGACACAAGCCAATTATTTTCCAGATCTTTGTGAACAGTGAATGAGATGTTCGTACTGTCAAATCACATTTCCCCACAGGCTGCCTTATTTCTTGGAACAGGGCGGGGGCTGGTACAGGCTGTGCATGGAATGTAAACTTGGAGCCTGTATTTATTGTTAGCACTGGGCTCCCTGACCAAATCAGATGTCCAATTAGAGCTGCATATTGCAAAGTCTAGGCTGAAGAAAGAGCCAGCTGCCAATATGGCACCAGGAAGCAGTCCTTCTGGAGTTTCTGTAGACCAGCTGCCAGGCTGCCACCACCCATAAAAACTGGTTGGAAATTCAGGAATGTTGCTCTCGATTGCACTAGAAGATGATGGATCTCAGTTGTCGGACACGGGCTGCGATGCAAAGTGGTTTTCTCAGAAAAGTGTTGCCTTTGGACCTCTGTTCCATTTTTATGATTTTTTTTTTATTTATTATTTACAGCTGTTCTGGATCTTCACTGTGCATGTGAGGGCCTTCTGTAGTTGCAGTGAGCGGGAGCTACTCTTGGTAGCAGTGCAGTGCTTTCTTTTGTTGCAGAATATGGGCTCTAGGCACATGGGCTCAGCAGTCGTGGCACACAGGTTTTGTTGCTCCACGGCATGTGGAATCTTCCCGGACCAAGGGTTGAACTCGTGTCCCTTGCATTGGCAGGCTGATTCTCAACCACTAGCCCACCAGGGAAGTCCTTGGACCTCTGTCTCTTAAGATACAGGATGGGTCTGCACGGTTTTTCAAAAAGAGTTACTGGCATCTCAATAATACTCATGATGATGATGGTAATACTAATAACTGGGAAAAGTTTTGTCTCAGGGCCAACAAAACCCACTTGGGCCATGGTATTTTCCAAAGCCCCTCAGGGCTGGGATCTGCCCTGGTGAGAGCCCCTGCTAGGATGCTGGCGCTTTCTTGGACAGGGAGACCCCTTCTCCTCTGTGGGTGAGCTGCCTCTTTCTTCCAGCAGGCACACCAGAGAGGCCAGTAGGGTGAAAAGGGGGTGTGAGCTTGGTCCAGGGGGTGAGGCATCAGGAATAAGAGGTCCTCCGAGGAGGAAGGAGGTGAGACTGCCAGCACCCAGCTTCTGAAGAGGGGCAGTGGGGATGTGGGTGCTTGGACATCAGGAAGTCCGGGCTCTGCTTGCTCTGAGGCACCCAGCGGACCTGGACAAGTCATCTGTTTCACCCGGGAAAGCGGCTCCTGCCTGCGATGAGGACTCTCACAGACTCTTGCCCACTTTCCCTGGCTTTGGGATGAATTTTGGGGGTCTCCCAGAGGATCAGGCTGTAGCTTTGCAGCTAACGCGTGTTCACATTTACGGTGCCCCTTAGGTATTAGCACTTAGCTACCAGGTCTGGGGAGGAACACAATTTTGTGGAAGGTGGGAAGTAATTTAGGACACGTTCCTCATATTGCAGGCAATTGGAGGGTCCCCAAATCTCAAAATAGGAAGGTACTCCGAGTCAGATTAAAGGGGCCTCCCCCAATGTGGGCAACTGGATACAGGGAGGGGGCAGGGTGGGGAGCTTCCAACACCGGGCTTGGTTTGAACACCACGAAGCTGTTCCCGACATCCGACATCCCGGTCATCTGTTGGGCGTTAAGGAAGGAGGAGCTGAGAGCAGCGAGCTGAGCGACCCGGGCTTCCAAGAGGAAGAGACAGTCAGCGCAGCGCAGGAGCAAAAATCCAGGAAGGACAGAGAGACCAGAAGAAGGAGGCTCCTCCTCCGCCCGCGTCCCCAGGTCCCTAAGTATGCCACGTGGGTGGGAGCGTGTCGCACACACCCACGCGCCCGCTGCCACAGTCCTCGCGTGTCCGGCCCGGCCCGGCCCAACCCGGCCCTTGTCCGCGCGCCTGCGGCGCCGGGTCTCCACGGGCCACGTCGCCGCCACCTGCTGCTGCAGCCCTAGCGAGGGGGAGGCGCATCTCCGCGGCGTCTCCCTCCCCATCCGCCCCGGCTCGGTGCGGGCTTTCCCCCACCCCGCCTCGTCCAGGCCCGGGCTGGAGGACGTCTTCCCCGGGGCCCCCTCCCCAGCGCAGAAGGGGAGGCGGAGGGAGGAGCTCCGGCCGCGGCCACCCGCCCTCCCCGCCCCGGAGCTCCCCTCCCCTCCCCTCCCCTTCGCTCGGTTGCCGCAGCCCCGCTAGTCGCGCGCGTCAGCGTGGGCTCCCCGGAGCGAGTCGCTAAGTAACGGGCGCTGGCTCCGCAGACCCCGGGCCGGGGAAACCCGCGCGCGCGTCGTCAGCAGCGGCGCCGCGGGCGGGGAGCGCACGGGCCCTCCCCCATCCGGGCCTGCGGACCCGGGCTGGCACGCCGCCCGCCTCCCCGGTTCCCTTAAACCCGCGCGGCCGGTTGCCGCCGAGGTGCCCCTCCCCTGCAGGGACCCCGACGCCGCCAGCCCTTCCCTCCTTCCCAGCCGGTGCGCACAGCTCCGCGCGCGGCAGGGTGGGCGCCCCGCGGCCGCGATCGCCGTCGTCGCCGGTAAGCCGCTCTCGGGGACCCGGGCCGGGGCGGGGGAGCGAGATGGAGGGGGTAGGGGGGAACGGCCGCCGGACCGGCCATGTGCTAAAGTTTCTGGGGCTTCGTGCCCCACCGGGCAGGCGCGCAGAGGCGGGCGCGCAGAGCCGGGCGCAGCGGCGCGGTGGGTGGGGCGGCGCGGTCCTGCCCCGGCCCGCCGCCCCCGGACCCGCGGGGCGCAGCTCCGCGCGCACTCACGCTCTCTCTTTCTCTCTTTCCCTCCGCGCCGCCTCCCCGAGGTCCTCCTGCCGAGCCCCGCGCGGGGCATGAGGAGCCCCGGGGCGCCGCCCGGAGACAACCCGGCTGCGCGCACACCTTGCCAGCGGCGGACGGGGACATGAGCTGCGCGCACGGGGTCCGGCGCTCGGCGGCCAGCCCCAGCCGGCGGCGGCCAGCGGATCGGCGGTGCCCGGGAGAATGAGGCGGGAGCCGGCGGCCGCCTCCTGGTTCTCCACCTCCTCCTCCTCCTCCTCTTCGCCTTCCTCCGGCTCGGGCGCCCCGGGCTCCGGCCGGGCTGTGGCTCTGCTGCGTGCCCCGCGCGCCCCCCCGCCCGCCTCCGGATGCGCTGCTGGGTAAGCCAGGCCCTCCGCCACCGGAACAAAGCCCCTTTGCCTGGGACCCCGGAGGCTGCCTCTGAGCCCCTGCCCGGCCCCTACTCACCCAGAGCCTGCCCGGGGCGCTTCCGATTGAACCCCTGTATTCCATCATTCTCCAAGCCCTGCTGGAGGCCGAACACTGCCTTCGAGACCTGGTGAATCCCTGGGCCATTAGGGAAGTGGATGCGGGCTTGACACGCAGGCAGGAGACCTGTTTGGTCGAAATAATGACATAGGCAACCTGGGTTCTGCCTCATCATTTGTGGGAAGGAGACGACTCATACATACTGACCTGGAAAAGAGTGTCCAGGCTGTACAGGGTAGGGAGCCTCCAAACCACCCGAGGGAGTGGGTTCCCCTTCTTCTCTGGCTCAGATGAGGAAACTGAGGCCCAGGGAGGTTGACGACTTAATCAAGGTCACAGGGCCGGGGAGTGCAAACCAGGGATCGTCAACCAGGGAGCTCTTTACCCCGCTCCCTGGAGAGCTGATCCTTTGTAACAAACACACCTGTCCCAGCTCTCCTAATACCTGCTTTTGTCTGGAGTTGCGCCTGTGTGAAAACACTTGTGCTGATGAGTATCTGCTCGGATGACATAAATCACTGGTGGCATGTATGTTTTCATCCCTCCCTCCGTCATGCAACCGCTCAGCCTTAATGTGAACTGTAAGTGCTCGGCCCCTTCTGTTCAGGTGGGAGGAAGAGATGTTCCCTGGGTGCTCTCTCTTTTATTCTTTTTCTCCCAGACATCTTAAAGGGGACAAAGGTGGGCACTGGGATCCTCCTGTGTGCCTCTTCTGTGCTGCATGTGCCTAGCACATGCTTGGCCTCAGAACTGAGTCCCGAACCTTTCTAAAGGGTGAGGGCTCATCAAGGCTCTTGCCCCTGGTTGTGTAAGTCTTGGAGATGGTTACTTAACAGGCTGGTCCCAGATGGCCACGGTGTAGGAATCAGCCCTGTTGGAAATTTCATCTTGGCTCGTGTTTGCCAGCCCTCCTTGTCAGCAGAACTTCCCACAGCTCAATCCAGAAGAAAAGGAGAGGGGGTTTTCATGTAGATCGGAAGCCTTTGCTTGATCCCAGCTCTCTGGTTTTGTCGCTTTTAACTGTCTGCTTAAGTGCACTCAGAGCGACCCTCAAGGGGGAAGTCGCACAGAGTCGTGTGGTCCTGATCTGAGTGGCTTGTTTAATCGGTTGAGTCAGCAGATGTTGGACTTGGTTGTCTACAGGACTTGGATGGTACTGGTGTCAGGCCAGGGAAGGGCCATCTGTTTCCCTGATAGTAAAATGTCAAGAGTCACACTGGATGAACCCTCAGATCCCTTCCAATGAAATGATTCTTCAAGAGGGAGGAGAGTGGGTCACAGGCCAGAGCTGGGGTGTGTGAACTGGTCAGACACCTACGTTTGGATGGATAGCTCCACACTGAATAGGTTGTTGATCTCCAGGAGGAGGACGTGGTGCCCGAGGGAGCTGCAGAATTCAGGTTGCATCCACAGGAGGTGAAGCCTGGGCTGTGCTTTAGTGGATTATTTATTGGGCTAAAGCGTGATGGCTGTCAGATGTCCCAGGGTGCCAGATCGGGGTTATGGGGTAGGTTAGGCATTGCATTTGGAGAGATGACATTTATCTCTGAGAACTGATGAAATACAATACATCGACTGGATGTCCAGCAGCTTGAAAGCGGCCAGCTGGTGAGCCTGCCTGTTCTTTCCAGAAGGAATCCATCATAGTTGCAAGGTAAAACCTTCTCCGATTAACCCAGTGATACCAGGAAATAAAGTGATTTTTAGATGCTCTTCTCTGCACTGTTTGCTGATTGTATTAGCGAATGGTGGAGCTTGCCTCAGCAGGTATTCAGAGAGTTTGTCACATGAAACGGGCCACAAGGCTGTTTAGACCCTGACTTAGTCTTTGCCTGTTGATTACAGCTAAATTCATCAACTTGACCTATGGGCCCTTAATGGAGTTGTCATAGGTCTTTTAAAGATCTGGATTAATGAACCTTTTAAAGTGTTACTGAATCTCCAATGAAGCAGGCATGTCCCACCTTTTTTCCCCAGAAACTAAGCTCCTAGTGGGTTTTATAACTGTTTGTTGTTCACAGAACCAGAGCAAAGCTTTTATTTTTGACAAGCTCGCAGGGTCTGTGAATGGCAAGTAATGCGTCTTGTGTGGGCATATTAATCTCCCACCATTGTGTGTTTAGCGCCTCATGTCTAACGGGTGAGGTTTTGAATAAAAATGAATGCAGAGAAACAATTTTCATGAAGTTACTTTTGAAAATGATAATGTAATTATGAGAGAACAGTTTTTATGTCATATATCATGCTGTTGCTACCCAAAGCCAAGTTCCACAGGAAAATGTTACCCTTGTTCCTCATCTATAGTTTTAAATTCATCTGTTCTCTCTTTATTTTTTTTGCTTTTTTTTTTTTAACCTTCCTGGTGGGAAAGTGTGCAATTGAGAACAAAATCTCCATTTTCGATTCTGCTTTGTCTTAAACCCACTTCTTTTCTGGAAGATCTCTAAAGCGGACCTCTTCCACACCACACTTGTGATGGCCTCATGTTCAGATATATCTCAGTGCCTCATGTTACTGTTGAGAGAGCAGAAGGGTCTTATCACCAATTAAATGACAACAAGATGTTTCCTCATGAGTGTCCCATTTCTGACTGGAGTGTTTAGACCAGGAACTCTTGATCAGGGCTGATTAGCGCCTGCATTGTGTTAACCCAGTTTGGACACTGTGGTGCTTGTACAGGGTTAAGGATGTACATAGGCACCTATGGGGGGTGTAGAGAAAAGAAACATCTTCCAGAGGCCAGGAGACCCGGGATTTATTCTTGACTCTGTTGTTAATTGGCTTTGTGACCTTGGACGAGTCATCCCCATTCTCGGGGTCTTCATTTACACCCGTGCCGTGAGCGTGTATGTTTGTGTCTTTGTGTCCCTGGGCACGTGTGTATATTAGTGCCAGGGGGTCCCCTCCAACTCTAAGCCCGAAGAGTCCTCAGACTCTAGATGCAGCTGGTTATTAATAGCTCCAGAATGCTCTGTGCTTTAAGGTTACATAACGTTTCCTTATTAAACATCCGTATAAACAGTAAAGAACAGATCATTATAAAAAATCGTATTGGTTATCCTAAGGGGGAGCGCTACCCTGAGTATGTGATGAAACAACTTTTCATCTCCAAAACAGTGATGCCAGTTTCCCCATCAGGGCGCCTTGCGGGGTGGAGTCTCGGCACGCATCTGAGAGGGCTGAGCCGGGAGCCTCTCTAGGGTCCCTCTGCCAGGAGCCGCAGGAGCCCTTACGTAATTTGGATCCATGGAGTAGGAGAAATGTCACATCTAACTGTAGAGGTTTCTCCGTAGTCTTTTTAGGCTGTTCCTGGAAGGTAGGAGGGGAAGTGTGTAATTACTGTTTGCAGTTGTTTTGAAAATGGAAAGTACTTTAATTAGAGCCTTGAATTCAGCTGGAGCTGAGAAATGGTTAGAAGTTCTTCGATTTGGCAGTGGTGTTTTTGCTAGGTTCCCCGGGCAGGCTGGCTTGTCACACTTAAGCAGTCTGCGGTCAGAGGTCAGCATTCCTAGTGAAGCTGCAATTGTTGTCAGATAAAGAGGGTGGAAGAAAGGAACCACCAGTCTTCACACATTGAATCCTCCCGACTCTGCTGCAAAGTAGATCTTATGAACCCCTGTTCTAGACTCAGAGCCCGGACTCCGAGAGCTGTAGTATGTCCCTCAGGTCACACAGTTACGGAGTGGCAGAAAAAAGCACGCTTTCAAGTGCTGGGGTTGAAAGCACCGCCCCACCCTTGCCCCTCAGACTTCATTTCCACCGGTGCTGCAGTGTGTCTGGAAACCAAATTGTGTCTTTCTTGTCGAACTTCTAAATAGCACCATGTCACAGAGAGAGCATGTAGCTCTGATGTAGGTAACATGGGTGGTGGTGGGGGGAGCTATTTAGTTCTTGAAAGACTTCTGCATTCAAGACGTTTGATTTCTTTGAACTCTGTGTCAAATGTATTAGATTTGAAGGATAATTAGAAATAAGTCGAGTGTTACCCTATAAAGTTTAGAGTTGGTGGTTCTTCTGGGGAAGCTAAAACAGCTCTGTAGGTCCCATGTCACCCTGGGAGCGATCACTGGCTGACACGTGGGATATTTTGAAAGGCATTGCCAGCCTGCACCTCACAAAAAGGGACACGGACTAAAAGTTATGTAACAGAAGCTTCCTAAATGAGTGTGACTCTGGTTCCAGGATGCCACACGGGTTAATCCTCCCCCAGACAACAAAGGAGAGAAGGAAGTAGGAGGAACATATACAGGAACTTAAAGGTCCACCTCCAGCTCTTAAGAATTTCCAGGACTTGGAGGAGGGAATGTCAGTTTCAAGAACTTTTCAAGCCCCGGAGTAGAGATGCAGTCATAGCAGAGACTTGGTGGAGCCTGCAGAAGTCCACCCACATTAGTATAGCTGCTGCCGTCTTTGCTGATAGCTTCACAGATCTGGAAGAGTGTCATCCATACCCAGGACAGGAGATTCCAGAATCCCGTCTGCAATGCACAAGTTTATAGATGCTAAAGGGAGCTCATGGAAATCACCCATCCTTACATTCTAGCAATGATACTCAAGCTGACTTTCTTCACCAGCAGTTTAAATTCCTTCCAGAACTGATTCTGGCCTTGCCCACATCAGAGCAGGTGATGTCTTAACAAAAAAGACCCTCCCTCCATCTCTTCTGAATTCCTAAACAGCTTATGTGCCAAGAGCTTCGAGTTTTGTGATAGGTGATTAATGAGAAAAAGCAGAGAGAATGAGTTGAAAAACTTGGTTGTGATTCATCTGTCACCGGTAAAGTACCAAAATGTCTTAGCAGCCAGCACAGTGTTTTGGATTTGGTCAACTAGAAATTGCATGACTTGTCCCAGTGAGACCAACAGAGATTTTACCTTTTGTACCCAAACCTTGAGTGAACAGATTCCTGGTAGCTTCAGTTCTGGGCCAGAATTTTAGTACTTGTGGTTATTCAGTGACAGAGAATGCAAAAATGGCCATACAGAGGCTTTGGGGGGTGAGGCAAGAAGGCAGTGAAGCCCCTGGCCTCTGATTGGTGGTTCTTATGAGCAGTTATTTGGGGCCCAGTAAGTAGAAATGATTTAACATCCATTTCCAGCATCGAGAATCACAGAATAAATTTACTCGAGAATTCTAGATGTCTCATGCCATCCTCGTATGTGACCTGTGACAAGTGTAAATGAAATCTTACATGGGGTTAAAAAACCTGCACCTTTGCAAACCCTTCTGGTAGACTTTGATGACTTGTCTTAGTATTTTCTAGGCTGAATGCTTCTGCACTCAGCATCGTTGAAACCAGAATCACAGCTCAGATAGGGTGTTGGGGAGGGTCTGTGTATTCTCACTTGCTTCAGTTTCTTAATAAACTGTGATGAGCCACTCTGTATGCCTCATTTAGCACCTCCAAGCAGAAGCACACATAAGGAATGCCCAGGGCTTCCTGTTTTTTCGTCATCCCAGCTTTTGAGCCTGTATCTGCTAATATAGTCTGGGAGCCTGACCGAGACTGTCTCATTCTGTCACAGATAAACCACGCAAGTCACATTGGCCTCAACATGAGCCCCCTTCCCCACTGAAAGAGTCTTGATTATTTTAAATTCAGAAGCTAGATGATAATAATAGTCACCATCTTTTTTTTTTTTCCATTTATTTTTATTAGTTGGGGGCGAATTACTTTACATCATTGCAGTGGTTTTTGTCATACATTGAAATGAATTAGCCATGGATTTACATGTATTCCCCATCCCGGTCCCCCCTCCCACCTCCCTCTCCACCCTATCCCTCTGGGTCTTCCCAGTGCACCAGGCCCGAGCACTTGTCTCATGCACCCAACCTGGGCTGGTGATCTGTTTCACCCTAGATAATATACATGTTTTGATGCTGTTCTCTTGAAACATCCCACCCTCGCCTTCTCCCAGAGTCCACAAGTCTGTTCTATACATCTGAGTCTCTTTTTCTGTTTTGCATATAGGGTTATCGTTACCATCTTTCTAAATTCCATATATATGTGTTAGTATACTGTAATGGTCTTTATCTTTCTGGCTTACTTCGCTCTGTATAATGGGCTCCAGTTTCATCCATCTCATTAGAACTGATTCAGATGAATTCTTTTTAATGGCTGAGTAATATTCCACGGTGTATATGTACCACAGCTTCCTCATCCATTCGTCTGCTGATGGGCATCCAGGTTGCTTCCATGTCCGGGCTATGATAAACAGTGCTGCGATGAACATTGGGGTGCACGTGTCTCTTTCAGATCTGGTTTCCTCGGTAGTCACCATCTTTTAATGATTGATATTGACAAGTCTTCTCTTTGCCTTGAGAGCATCATGCCTAAACTGGAAACAGTTTATGAGCACATGTTCCTGTTAACTCGTTGAGAGGGCTGTAATGGAAACTTCTAAGAGAGTTAGCCTGGCTTTGCAGTGTTAAACTCTAAAGAGAGACATGGAAGCCTGCATTCGCCACCTGGAAGGCAGGAGTGGAAGGATACACTTGTTCACTATAAGGGAAGGCTGAAGCTTTTCACAGTTTTACCAAGATAACAAGGGTCTGAAGATCTCTGTAGCTGCTGAGGTTGCTTCTCCACAGGGGCTGGTTGTCCTTGGCCTGCTCCAGGACATCCCTGTGGAGTTGGAGAGCTGCTCTGTCCATCTGTCCAGGAGTGGTGCCATCTCCTCCATCCTCGGTGCCTCTCTGGTCTTGCTTGATCACTGAGATCTGCCCCCATCATTCTCCAGTCGGACAGGTATTGATCATCAATGGCTGAACAAAGATCTGTTGTACACCAGCTCTGTCTAGGCACTGCTGGGCATCGGGGCCAGACTGGTAGATGATGGACAGCTGCAGGATATCTGTGCATGGATCCTATAGGCCTGGGAGGGCATCCCTGCCCATCTGCAGGGGAGCAAGGAGGACCCAGCCTGGGAGTCAGGGGGCCTGCTTGTCAGCCCAGCTCCCTCTGTCATCTCACCTGGGCACCTGGGGACAAGCCTCCATCCCACTCCGACCCTCCCCTGGCTGTCAAGTTCAAGGACTGAGTCATAACATAGGGTTTTTCCCAAGTGGGATACAGGGGCCACTTCCATGAAAGCATCTGGGGAGCTTACTAAAATACAGATTCCTGGGCCTTGCTGTGGACCTACTGAGTCAGAGCCTCAGACGGTGGGGACCCAGAATCTGTATTTTTAGCACCTTCCTGGTAATTCCTATCTCAGGAGCAATAAGCCAGCGAGAAACCCTGGCTCTTGCAGGTATTTGATCACTCACGCCCCTTCCTGCCACCAAACACCTAGAATACGGCGCCCGACTCATGCTGACCTGTCTCTCCACCTCCATCCTGGCCGCTCTCATCTCTCCTGTAACCTTTCTTTCTGCTCTCCCACCACCCTCGACAGTTTGTTTTCCAGCGGCCCCCAGAGGGAGCCTTCTAAAGGATCGCAGTCTTCTCTGCTCGGAGCTTGCCGGTGTCCCCGAGAGCACTGACAGGGACGGTGTCCAGGGCCCTGCATGACCTGGCCCTGTGTCGGGGCCCGCCTGCCCCCGCCCCTTGCTTCTCCGCTTCTAGCCACATATCGGCTTCCATGCTGTTCCTGAAACCCTCACAGCTGCCCGCAGCCCTGTCACTCTCCAGGAGCCCACGGGACCTGGGGGCTGGGTAAGAAGGGGGCTCAGCTGGTGGGGAGCAGCCCTGATGGGCTGCCATGCTCCATGCCCCCACGGCTTTGAAACCTTGTCCACGTGACGCTGTCACGCTCAACGGGGCCAGTCTTAGCTTCCAGGCCCCCTGCCATGTCAAGTTGTTTTAGGAGCAGCCCTTTAACTCAGAGCACCATATTACAGGGTGATTCTTCATCGGATGGGATCATCGAAGTGGGTCTGGAGTTCTCTTCCAGAGGAATTTTTCTAGAAATACCCTGAGTCCATTCCTTCCACTGGGCAAGATGTTTCTTCGGCCACAGTTAATCCCGGGGGGCGGGTAGGGGGTGGGTCTGCTGTCCCTCCTTCTCTTCCTTCCAGAAGCATGCCCAGAGCACCAGCTTTGTCCATGCATCATTGCAGGCCCCCCATACACGGGAGACGCAGTGGCTCTGGGTTCTGCTTGCTTTCGTCTCTGACTCTGGCTCTTGCTTTCATGCAGATGGAACAGTGAGGCCTGGGCTGGAGTCCTCTGGCCTCTATCTTCCACCTTGGAAGAGATGGAAGGTTTATCAGAGTGGCTTTCTTGGGGCCTGTGTGAAGCAAACTGCACTCAGAAATACTGTGTGCTGAGTAGGAGGGAGAGATGGACCACTTTGTAAGATTTGTCTCCAAGCAGAGCTGAGTGTGTGACCTGGTATAGAAATGGAAGACATAAAGATGATCTTACATGAGTCAACACACAACGTTAATTCAGGGTCCCTTGAAGCCAGTCTTCCTGGCAGTATATTGTTTGAAAAAGGCCATGCAAACCTCAGACCCTTCTGGGTCCTGCCCACGGTACGTGCTTTTCCTTGAATCTCATGGAGAAGGAAGGATGTTCACCCTTAGCATCCGCCTTGCACTTCCCTGCAGTGGACACGTGGACCAGGCTATGACTTAAGAGCCCATCAGGAAGGATGGTGTGGGGATGGAGACAGGCAAGATGCTCTTTGTCTTCAGGAGACTCAGAGACAGTTGGGGTAACATGTGACTACCTGTAACTAATTAGAGTGGTTGATGTGCCCTGAGAAGGCAGAGGTGGGTCTAGATGGGGGAAGGTGGGGGTGGGGGGCATTTGCCATGAGTCTTGAGAGACAAGTAGGGATTTGTCAAGCAAAGATGAAGGCCAGAGGCATTCCAGGTGGGAGGGAGGAGGAGAGCAGAGGCTGGGCGGTTGCAGGTGGGTGAGCGGGTGGTGCAAGGCTATAGCATTGGGCTGCGGGAGCACAGGTGAGTCAGTCCGGGCCCCGTGGGAGTGTGTCTGGAAGGCTGGGTCTCACAGGTGATGGGAGCCATGGGAAGTGCTTGAGCGAGGGTGTGGCTTTTAACAAGATAGCTGGTGATCCTGTTCCATGCACCCTTTTTAAAGTCTATATTACAGTGAAGGTGTGTAGAACACACCAATGCATAACAAGGTATCTGGTGATCCTGTTTCATGCGCCCTTTGTAAAGTCTATATTACAGTGAAGGTGTGTAGAACACACAGACATATGAAAAGAAGACATTGTCCCTGCGGGATGAGTGTGCCTGGATGAGCGTGACTGTGACCTGCACCCTGCCACTGCTCTGTATCTGTTGAGGGATAGACACAGTCTGGCCCCACTCCCCAGACCCCAGCTCCACCGACTCTGCTGGACTCCGAGGGAGCGCAAGGTAGCCTCTGACTGCGGCCCTCGCTGCCCAGCCATCGTGGCCTCCGGCCAACAGGAAATGGAGCGGGCAGTGTCCCAGCCTGATTCACTGAGCCGTGGGTCTCCCTGCGCCTCTGCAAGCGCATTCAAGCTGCTCCTGGCCTAAAAACGATGCTCCCAGATCTACATCCACAGCTGAGAGAATCCAGGGCGTGCATTCACCGGCCGGCCTCCCTGAGCTCCCCCCAGCGACAGACTTGATGCATGGGAAGAGGGTCAGTGTCAGGAACCCAAGCCCGTGCCTGTCTAATCGTTAGCCTTGAAATCGGCATCCTTGGCAGGACGGGTGACTTCCACAGAGCTGGTGGGGTGGGCATAAGGTAGAGGGTCCCAGGGGTCACTAGTGAATATGGTTATGCCACTTCCATCCTCCACCTTTCTGTTGCTAAGAGAAGCAGAGGGAAATACAGAGCGTGTCCTGTAGGCCAGCAGGCAAATTCTTAGCTATTTCTGGGGAGTTTGGCCCTGGAAAAAGAGCCTTCCCTAGGGCAGGCTGACTGCCAGATCATGCCAAGGGCAGAGCAGCATGGGCAGTTTGAAGAACTGCTCTTGGCTGGCAAGCTCACTGTCCGAGAATTTGGGCTGGGGGAAGGGACACAGCTCCACCTTCTCAAAGGCCCCATTTGTAGGTCAAGAAATAGAGGCCCAGAGAGTTGAAGTAACGGGCCCAAGGTCACACAGTGGGACTGGAGCCCAGCAGGGCATCAAATCAGTCTGGAGCCGGTCATGATCTTTGAAGTTGGCCAGTGCCCAGGGTTGGCGCAAGTCCACTTGGAAATGGACAGTTTGTACTCACACTGCGTTGCCCCCAACCAGTCACAAAGGATGTGGCCTTCTCCTTGCTCTGTGGCCTTTCCTCTTGGAAGCCAGGCCCAGAGTCAGGGTTCTGGGCAACCGCAGTTGGAGGGGGCTGGGAGTGAGCCCCTAAGTCTCTGGCCCTTTTGTGGCTCATTGCAGTTCTGCAGCTTGTGTGGATATGTGACTTGAGAGAATGGTATCAGAGCAAATTAGAATGCTTCTCAGGATCTGGGCATGCGTAGCACTGAGGCTGCGGTCTGTTTGGAGCTCAGGGTATCCGGAAAAGCCCCATCAGTCATCCAGGAAATCCTGCCGCCCAGATTCTCCAAGTTCCTTGGATGTACCCGAGTTTAGTCCAAAGCACCCTTGGTATCCCCATCTGTGTCTCTGTTCCTGCGTGTCCAGCACCATGGACAGAGTTCGCTTAGCGTTGGAATGACTCCAGGCCTCTTAGGGGCTGAGTGAGGGGTGCTGTGTGGAAAGGGGCTTGTTTGATGAGCTTCTGTAGCAACCCGGCTCTCCCCGGCTGTGTTTTGCCTTATCAAGTAGGTGCTCCCAAATGCGTGAGCGCTGATTGATGGCAGTACTGCCAGCTGACTTCACAACAGTAAAACCTTCAAGGCTTTATTAGGCAGATATATAAGTACAGTTCCCGTTCATAAAATGCATCCGTCACAGCCCTCAGGAACGTGAAGGAATTGTTTGCAAACTTTGCCAGGTTATTACCCCCAAACTTGTTTGAATATATGTATTAGATAAATAATCTTGGGAGGCCCATGTGTTATGGCAGTTTGGGACAGAGGTAATCTACCTACTGGCAAGTTTCACAGGTTTCACTGCCTTATTTATACTTATTTTTAACGAAAGAAGAGAGCAGAGCTAAAAAATATTATCCTCTTGTGGAGGGAGGCTAAATGTTTTGGAAAATGTCTGAGTGCCATGCAGATAGGCAGGGTGATTATTTTGAAGATGTTTCGAATGTCTGACTTTAGTCCCTCTGCTTTTCTGGTCAAGGACCTAGCCCCTCCCAGATGGGAATGGCAGTTCTTCAGTGAGATTTTTTTTTAAAGTGCCTTTTGCAAAACTTCATTTGCGTAGTTATTTATGGCTGTGCTGGGTCTTCATTGCTACACGGGGGCTTTCTCTAGTTGTGGCAAGTGGAGGTAGTTCTCTCGTTGTGGTGCTCAGGCTTCTCACTGGTGTGGCTTCTTTTGTTGCCGAGCACAGGCTTTAGGAGTGTGGCTCTGGTTGTGGAGTACAGGGTTGGTTGTCCCATGGCACTTGGGATCTTCCTGGATCAGAAATGGAACCCATGTCCCCTGCATTGGTGGGCGGATTCTTCACCATTGGACCAGCGGGGAAGTCCCGTCAATGAGATTTTTGAGTCCTGTCACAGCCTCTTCCAGGGGGCAGGCGTGTTTTAGTTGAACCTGTTTTCAGAGTCAAACCATGCAGCATCTAAGTCACTGTGTGTGCGGTTTGCTTTAGTCTCTTCAAGCCCTGTTTCTCTTCCGTACAATGGTTGTAACAATGATAATCATAGCTTTTACATACTAGGTGCTTAGTCTGGGTGGAGACTGTGCTAAATGCCTTTCCATGGACTATTTCATCTGAGCAGCAGCTCAAGAAAGCAGTTACTTTTCTCATTCCCATTTTACAGATGAGGAAACTAAGGCTTAGAGATTGCTGCCTATAAAACATCTCCAAATGGTGGCTTTTTAAACACTAGGCATCCTTTATTTTTGCTCAGGAGTCTAGGGGCCGCCTGGGCTCAGCTAGATGGTTCTTGCTGAAGGCCTCATGTGAGATTGCAGTCAGGCTGTGGCTATGGCTGGAACCATCCAGAAGCTTCCTCACTTCCATGCGTGGCACTGGGCCAGGAGGATGCACACAGCTTGGGGGTGTGGGGGAGGGGCTGGCACAGCTGAGGCTCCTTGGATCTCTGGGCAGTCCCTCCACATGGTCTGCAAGGCAGGCCAGGCCAGCTGGGACTTCCTACACTGTGGCTCAGGGCTCCAGTGCGCATGTCCCAAGAGGGCGCCGGGGGGGTGGGAGGGCTGTCTGTATCTCCCTTTTATGGTCTGGGAACTCACACCGTCACTTCTGGCGTAAGCTGTCCCTTAGAAGCAAATCACTAAGGCTGTCCACACGGGGCCCTGTTGGAGGGAATTACGTTGGGGAACTTGGGACACGTTTTAAGCCACCGTGGAGAGCGTGGGTGGCTTCTACAGGTGGTGGTCTGTGGTCGGCGGCCAAGTGGGGTGTGACTCAGGCGATCGGACCCTGAGCACATCTGGTCATTCTGCTGACATTTTCAAACACTGACCACCTTGCTCTGCGGGAAACTGGAGCTCCCTAAAGCCCTGTACCCTCCCGTCTGCCTTCTAGGCATCTTCCCTGAAGATGCACACAAAGCTGCTAAGAGTCTGATGTCTGCTCTTTGGTTCAGAGAGGCGTTGGTGCAGATCACGTGTCATCACCCCTCCTCGCCGCCTCTTTCATCCCCTCACCTCCTCTCCCCTGCACACAGGCCTCCTGCTCATTTTCACCAGCTCTTTTGCCTCCATGGGCCTTTCCACCTCAAAAAGTATTAAAAGTTGTATCTTGTGATTGAATTAATGTCACGAGGAATACTTTTATATTATATATTGTAACATTTTCTTCTAAATACAAAGTGCATTTTTTTTTCCTTCTCACTTTAAAAGAGATGGAAACATGTTCATGGGTCCCGAGCCCTCTGCTCGCTGCATCTCATGGAGAAGTCAGACGTGCCTGCACCTCCTTCCCTGCCTCCTTTCTCTCCCGACCCCCGCCCTCCCACCCCTCCGTTTCCTCTGACTCTCTCTTCTCCCCACACCTGCCCTACTTCTCACTCGATTCCGATCCCCCTTTGCAGGCCATTCTCCTCCCTTAGACCGTGGTGCCCTAGGTTCTTGTCTTACATCCTCCCGGCTGGAACCAGGACTGAGAACAGAACGTTTCCGATGACTCTGGGCCGCCTCTTTCACCTGGTCCTTCACTGGGGATGGGCCTTGCTTGTGAGAAGGGACTCGGCACGGGCTTCTTCCCCATAAGCCCACGAGCAGTCACACCTGTCTGGTTCTGGTTTCTGGCTTTTTCACTTCTTATTTTCCCGAAAGATTTGGAAAGGTAACATCGCAGAGAGATGACTTCTCTCAGGGCTGTTCCTGGGGAAGTCCTGCGTCTTGATTGGCACATGGGGTGATGGGAATCAGACACCCCCTGCCCCACCCCTAGCAGGCTTATCATTATCCTGCCATCCACCCAGAGATTTTTCATTGAGCTCTGTCCCAATAGGACCCACCCGGTGTCTGCCCTCATGGAACCCAGAGGGGTGGAAAGACGGAAAAATCAACACATGAATTATTATAAGCCCTAGAAGATTGTGGATAAGGAATCGGCATGTCCTGGAGACCAAAACAAGAAGTGCAATCTGGCTTCACAAAGGAGAAACAGTCACAGAAAAATCATCAGTTGTAACGACGTCTCCCTTCCCCCCGTCGGGAGCCTGGGGTCGCACCATCTGGTACCTCCCTCCTACTCGCATTTCTCAACTCTGGCTTCCTCTTCTGTTCCTCTGAGCTTATGGCTCAATAGTGGCCATCCCCAAGTGGTAGCCTCAGCCCTATATCAACATGATTCTCACAACTCACTCGCTCTCCTTAGGGGCCAAGATTCCCAGGAGAGAGGCTGAGTGGCCTGGCCTGGGGGTGGGAGGCTTCTGGTCTAAGCATCTGTGGCTGGGCCACTGGGGTCACATGCCGGGGAGAGCTGTCTGTCCTTACATGTAACTGGGATGGTTCCCCAGGAAGCGCATGCAGAGGGGAGGTTTCACTTCCCCATTTCATGGTTTAGGATTGCAGTTGCCAGCCTTTTGATGTCCACAGGTGGGGAAATTTGTTTAATCAAGGAATCAGCATGAGATTGCCAAATTCTGATCTGCTCCTTGTTACTATCCTCAGTTGATGAATACTAAGAAAAAAAAATAGGAAGACTCTACTGTTGGAATTTCCAAAGAGTATTTATTTTTCATTAATTCACTTAATTAAATCTAATTAATTAACCAAAAAACATGCAGTGTTCTTTTTTTTTTCTTTCTTCATTTTGCCAAAGACAGCTAAGATCTTGGTCTCCTTAATGCCCCTGGGTCCCTCTTATCTTGTTGTGGACTCACACTGGGGACCCGCGGGCATTAAGGAGCCTCTAGAGGTCACTTGAAAGTGAAAAAAAGTGAAAGTGTTGGTCACTCGGTTGTGTCTGACTCTTTTCGACCCCATGGACTATAAC